CTCATTTTGATGATCCTGACCTTAAATGTGGGTGGTATATTTGATATTATTATACAACTACTGACAGTACCAACCAGGCTGGAGTTATGGGTTTCTTGCAGAATATTATTGTTTGTTTAACCACAATATTCCAAGAGCTATCTCCCTTGCTCAGGATGGGCTCTCATTGTCAATTTCAACTGGGAACACCAAGAGACAGGCTGATATATTAATTAGATTGACATCAATAAAGTGGCGAACTGGTGATTATTCAGCAGGCCTAGAACACTCTTCTGAGTCACAGAGGCTGGCCAGGATTTCAGGCAACCTATTCCAGGAGGCCCATGCACTGCGTTTTGAATGCATATGCTGGTATACCCTAGGAAACTATAATCAAAGCATTCTCCTAGCCCACAGGGCAAGGGATCTGCTTAGTCTTTGTGCAATGTCTGGGGGTCAACTAGATGGATATATCCTCAGTAACCTAGCAGAAGTCCACCTGCTGAAGTCAGAATATGTTGAGGCCCGGATTATCCATACTCAGATCCTTGATACTCCTCTCATTGAGCAACAATCATATTCTCATGCCCTTACTTTACTCACAATGGCACAGATTGATGTGGAAATTGGTGCATTGAGGGATGGAGTGCACAGAAATATTGATAAAGCCAAGCAGCTCTTTGGCAGCATACAGTATTCAATTGGAGCCATATGGTGTGATATGACCAGAGCAGCACTTGCATTGAATGGAGGGGACTTGCTCAAGGCAACAGGTCTATTCGAGACATGCCTTCAATGTCTCCGGGGAAAAGACACTGAGGGTGCCAGCTACTGTTTGGAGAAACTGGGGAATGCTTCCCTCTGGGTTGCTATGGATCATGCTTCATCTAATTGGACAGTGATATTCCTGGTCCACAGCCTGAAGTTGAAGCGAAAGCTGGAAGTACACAAAGCTCTCCAATTCCTCGGAGATCTTTATCTTGCAGTGGATGACCAGCAGACAGCATCAAGTCTATTCACTGTTGCTCTTCAGGGATTCACAGAGATGGATGTGCACCGCAGCAGAGGAGAATGCATGCTTCGACTCGGGGATATCTCGCAACTACATGGGGATATCTACAAGGCAGCAGAGTTTTGGAACACAGCCAGACCCTTGTTCGAGCGATCATCACAGACAAATCAGGTTGGACATATTGATGAGCGGTTTGCTAGAGTGAGCATACATTTGGAAGGCCATCTAGGGCCCTCTTCTCGTCTCTCAGGTCTCAATGCACTGACGACTCACTCGGGAACCATGGATGTTGGCGGGCCGAGCCTGCTTTGATTTCCATTTAATTGTGTTACTGCATGGACTTGTTCCCTTGTTTCTTTCTGTCTTATCTCGTTTACAGAGTTTCCGGTATATATTTATTGGAGTTGGAGTAGGCGCATATGTAGTTTCTTGTATTCTACAGGACATACTGTCCCTTGACTACAGTCTAGCTGTGCCTGCATGTTCTTATTTTTATAGTTTCTGTCTTGTTTTAACATTTGCCAGTATATAATTTAATGGAGTGGAGTAGGCACATATGTAGCTGCGGTGTTCTATATATATATCTATTGGATTCAACTGGTCGGTCCAGGATATGAGGGTTTGGTTTAATAGCAATCCAATTCAACACAGCTGATATATTCAACCTTGGCCTCATTCCTCTCCGTTGAGGGATAGTTTAGGAGGAGAAGGTTGAAGAATCTAGCTCTGATCCACGCGTAATTGTGTTCGTGTGTTCATGTATGTATTTCCAACCCGAGAAGTTCATTCTCTAGCTCAACGAGAAGTTCATGTTAGCAAATTCCGATGTCCACCCCAATGACCAACATATTTCAGGTATCTACATGCCGGGAGTCAAAAATTGTGGCTTAAATCGAGTTTAAGGACACGCAAAACCAAGTAGAGAGCTCTATACATAATCATGGTATGTGTATGTGCCCATGGAATATAGTTCTTTCAATACTAACCTCAGGTATTCCAACCATTCGAGGGAAAAGCCATCAGTTTGTGCACTGCAAAAATGCTGGCACGAATGGCTGCAGCGCAATTTCTCTATTTGTTCTCTTGTTAGTTGCTGTGTTGGTTTCAGATTTACCTGTGCATTATTGGAGCAGCAGCAGGTGGGCCCGTCCTTGGTGTTTCATCTTCTATATTCCTTACATCAGTGCTCCAGTTGCGCAGGCAACCATATACAGTAGTTAACCGGGAAGCGAAACACCACGTGGAAGCGAAACACCGCCTTGTTCAGTACCTTTGACCACGCCTATGGACACAAATTTTGAGGAGGTTATGCTCCTGGTTCATAAACCCTTTCTCGCGAAAGGAATTAGCCAAAATGCTCATATAACGCTGAGGCAGCACCATTTTGTTTGGCGCATTATTTGGCCACGGGCCCCGCTTTTCCGAGTTCATCCCAGCGATGCCAGAATAATGTCAGGTAGCCAAAAGATGATGTTACTGAGGGTCCTGAGGACGCAGATGAGGTTTATGATGGCCCAACTCGCGAGGTTGAGGGATATTGAGCCATCTTGCACTGTTTTGAAGTGTTTCGCTTCCACGTTGTTGTGCCAAATTTGGCCTTTGCACAAAACCTCCCCGTTCTCGACGAGAACATCACTTAAATGTATGATTCTTTGAACCAACATGTGGCCCGGAAGGCTTCTTGTGAATGTATGACAAGAAAGGAACATACTGGTGCAGTATTCATCTCGTAATCGGCCGCGGACTCTGACTGTTTCGCTTCCCGGTTAAATACTGTATATGTGTAGTGATATATAAATAAAAGCAGAGTTTATTCATAGTAGGTCAAGTAGCTCCAACTTTCCGCCCCAGAGATTTTGCTGGTCAAGAGGAAGACAAACTTGAAGTCACCCGACCCTGGATCGAACGGGGACCTCCCACAACTACTTTAATGAATGACTTAACAATAAATTGGGGATGCACACCATGTAATATGTTGAGTTTGATCTCATGCACGGCCGGTTCATGTCGTGTGTGGGCAAGGTTGAACTCGGCCACGGAGAAAGTTGAATGTCAGGATTTAGTGGATTTCAAGTTATGGTGGGCAAAAAAAAAAATTGATAGATGAAGCCCGAATCCCCCGACACCAGATCAAGCGGGGACATTCTGCATACAAATTAGTCAGGCTGCGTGAAAATCAATGCAAACAGAAGTTGAGCCATGAGAGTTACCTCGCCATATGCCCCAAGTCCGGCCCCAGCTTGACTAGGGGGAAGACATTGAACACAGCGTCCAGTTGGAATTACAGTCAGCTGGTTCATAATGCATAGGGTCCGTTCCCTCAAAATTTACCAAAATCTGATGCATTATGAACACACTTCTAGAGTATGAATGGGCAGTGTGGTGGATCCCAGATCCGATGCATGACCATCTTATGCATTATGAGCCAGCCAACTGTACATCTAGCAGTCTGATAATCATGAAGGTGTTTGACTTGGTGTTGGTTGCATTCTAGAATGGGAGAATAATGGGTTGTCAAACCAGACAAATTTTTGCACAGATTCAATTGACATATACATGTCTCGGGAGGGGTCCTCCGGGGGCAAAAATCGAATTACCTAACCCCGGATCGACTGATACACCAGGGACATCTGGGTTCCAATTCCAATAAAGCATGGATAGTCTATGAACAGTGGATGCTGAGTACTTGTCAGCGACGGCACTTGGGCTGGCTCTGCACTCGAGATCAGGTTCTTTGGTCTGGTGTTGGAACAACCCGTGTCGGGTTCTGGAGCTAATAGTTCGTACATTTGCCGAGTAGTAGGACAAGCCATATAGTGTTCTGATTAGGAGGCAAGATATTTGGGTGTGTGTGTATAGTTGGAGGGGTTGGGTAGGAGTTGAATAGAGTGCAATAACCACTCAGGAATACAACCCGAGGACCTAGCATGCAGTGTATAGTGAGAAACAGTTGGTAATCCAGGATAGGATATAGTTGCTCCAAGCTAGGGCAACACCTGTGAGTTGACAAGGTAGAATCTACCTTACAGGGGTTTCTACCTATGACTTATATACGAATAATAGGGATGAAATGAGCTCGTCCATGGCAGGACTATCGGGTGCGGTTCTCTTCCCCCCCTTGTCTTGGCGTTATATCTTGGCATGCGAGGGCCATAAGACCAGCCTCAACGTCCGTGGAGGTTCGTTTGATTGAGTCAGGAAATGCCGTGGTCATGAGTTTCAGGTCGAGGAGCACCGTGTTTGGAATCACTGACCCTGCAATAGTTCATGAATTGCAGTCTAACGGTGAATATGGCGGTGCTGTTAGGCCTGCAATGAGAGAAATATGTACAAGTCAGTTACGATTCGTTCAGCTTCTGCCACACGAGCTGTATATTTGACACCGGACCCAGTGAAATATCGGGCCCTACAGCGGATCCTCCGCTGGAAAAAAACACTATGCTCAATCTTGAGGCACCCGACTCCGGGTCGAACGGGTCATAATGAACAGCGGATGCACACCGTGGGATATCCAATGTCTCTCCAATTAACCTCCCTATGACGGAAGTGTGGGTATAGGTTCAACACGCGAGCTGATCCGTGGGATTTTACCTACCTTGGCACCGCGAGAAATATATTGGGAGTCCATGCACTATTTCAGGCCGTGATATATTGAATGGTGGCCCGCCATGGTACCTCAGCAAGACACTCCATACAAGCTGAGCACCTTGATACGGGGGTGAAGCATTATGAGCATCTGGCACCCACAGATTCGGGTGCGCAGCTATGTAACACACTGAAAGACTGAACTACCGGAGAGGGAGGAATTCAAGACCTTGAGATGGTTCATTGGTCTCAATGTAATCTTGAATATGTCGGGACTAGTGCTGTTGCTTCCTATAATGCTCAAGTCACTCAAGTTAGACCTAGACGAACTCTGGTGTTAGCTTGCCAGGGAGCTACAACTGTCGCAGGCGGATCTTTCGCTGCCCAATAAAGAAGAGATCAAAAAAGCGACCGGACAGTTGAATCACCCGACCCCGGCTCGAACAGGGTCCTTCCGCATTCCAAATCAAATTAAACAATCTATGTCTATGACCAGCAGATGCACACCATGTGCTATCGGGTGATACTTCCTTGCGCAGTGCCTCCTTATATCGCTGATTGAGCCGCGTGACGATAGTTCAACAGGTTTCCCAGCACACCTCGGGTCAGTGAGAAAAAGTGGGAGAGAAAATATGCCCTCACCTTAAGTTTCTCCTGTTGTTCTCCTGGACCCTAGTTCAGGCATTCTTATTCAAAAACACTGGGTTGCCCGTGTTCACCTGTGTTTAACATTCAACTTCAACCAAACTTGAGCTTGAACATCGGGCTCACCGCATAATTTATGTAGGGCCGTCTCATCAACGTGCAATTTCTTCTCGAAACCTCGCCTCTCATTCAGCATCCTCTTCAAGCTCGGCGCACCTCCATCCTTCCATGTTGACGAGAGGCTCCTGCCTATCGTGGACATTGGCGTTCAGCACTGTATCTGGACGGTGACTATTTTGTTTTGTTTATCAGTTTCACCTTTGTTATCTATTTCACCTCTGATAGTCGCCACAACCCATAAGGCTGCAGCTCCGTGTTATTGTCGCTCAGTCTTACCCACATCCTGTGTGCGACTGAGGCTTACTCATTACTGTACTTTCTACATTCCGGACTGCAATATTAATTCAGGAGACCCGCACCCATCGGCCAAATATCCGGGTTCGCACATAGCCGAAATACCCGATAGCTCTGCCCCAATTACATATCCAATAACTTTCCTCCACCTTCCGCTTCTTGTGCTCACTCGAGTTCCTTCTCGCTCCAACACACCTCCCTCGCAGCATGCAATGACAATGAAGACTCCAAGGACAGCAGTTGTCCTGGGGGTTTCTTATAGCGGTCAGTCTCAAATCCACAAGCTGTGAATGCCGACACTGATGCTGGGCATTGGTCATGGCAGGCATGCATGCTGCTGTGAGGGCTGTATATGCCCTCACATCTCACCATTGATTGACTGGACTTGGCGAAGAAGCTCGACCACCATTTTGCCTTCAGGCAACTCAGGATTCCACATTCTGACATTCACCAAATCCACTGTATTCGGTTCCCCGCAACCCAGTCTCAGCATACACACCTTGCTAATTGACTCAAGAGTTGCAAACCATCACGCAACCCTTGCACGTTGCTGTATTGCATTGTGCATTGGCCCTACACCCATGGTTCAATACCTGCCACACAATCACACAAATTGTGGCCTATCAACCTTGGGAAGTGGAATTGCCAAACACCGTGCTGGACCATGGGAGGCGTCGCCTGGTTCCCCACATTGACTCACGACTTGGACCCCAATCGTGGTCTCCTGGTTCCCTCATAATTGTGTGATCTACCACTCTAGGGGTGGTTACTTGAGTGATTTACCAGGATTTCCAATCCAATTGCCCGATTTCCAAGACTCCTTCGAGTCTTGCATATCCCCAGCATTGACATCGAGTGATTCACTAGTACTCTGCAGCTTATTGTCAGGCTGCGCAGCTCTCACGGCTCTTGCACCATGAAATGGGAACTAGGGCTCTCCAGACCGTCTTGCACCCTCGATCTGGGGGAGCGCCGACATCTTGCGGGAGTCTACAAACCATTTGCGGCTCAATTGTGAAATGAGGGACGTTCCCCTGGCCCTGGGCTGGTGTAAATCTCATGATTTCCCGGTTTGAGCGGATGCACATCTTATTTTGGAGCACTTTCTCCACTCATTCACACAATTTCTGGACACGGCTGCCATTGTGCACTCAGGGTTTGAAGGGGTTCACACAGGGGGCAGTTTCTGGAGGCTGTGCGAGCTGAGAGGTATAAAAGGGAGCAGATTTTGGACCTTGTAGTCAGTCAATTCTTGGGACGTGCTTTACACCCCACTTCACCTGTACAACTCTCCCTCAATAGAGTGTTGACCACTACCACATAGCTCAAGCTTGCCTCTGGGCATTCTACTCATACTCTTGCAGCCTCCACCACAGGCTCGCACTCTCATCCTCTGCTCTGCCTTAAATGGTAACCGAGCAGGTCAAGTATCTCTTGTCTGATCCCCCATTGCCTGTTGACACCAGTGCTCTCATTTGAGACCACTCCCAACTAGACAAACAGTGAGCAGGCTGACAGCTCTCACACCCTAGGTGACTATACCATCTGTATCGCCCCCTAGAGGATGGACAGGCAACCAACAGAGAGCCAATTATCTCACCTGGTAGCACCACGGTCTGCATCACACCACAGGCCCGGAGGGGTGGCACCCATGGTGTATTGTGCTAGGAACTTGTGTGTGCACCCCTTCTCTCCCTCATCGTGTGTGCTGATCACAGGCGATGCAGACCATATGTCCTCTTCTTGAGTCTCCATGCCAACTTGACGCAGACACAATGTGAGGGCTGTACATGTGTTGCATGTGCCCGCATGACTCCAGACAAGCCAATCACCTAATCTGGAAACTCAAGAAACCCGATTTGGAATCATACCATGGTGGTGTTTTCACCTATGCACCTTTCCTTGACCACAGCCATGGCAGGAGTCCCACTTCGAACTGACTCACAGGGTGCCATGGCACTCCACCTCGACCACACCCGTGACTTGCTACATTCCACCACTGCATTTACTTATGTTCCCACCTGGTTTCCAGGGGACGGCCATTCTTGACTGTCAACCACCCTGGAACCCGAGGCCTCGTCCAATTCGCACTCCAGATTCATCTCCGCCTTGCAATCTGCACAGGTGTACACTCCATTTTCGCATCCTCATGACCATATAATCTATGTCCTGGCCGCTGCTCTCTCGAGCCGCTGATACACTAATGGCATATCTGAGAGCGCGAGCTGATATATAAAATACCGGGCTGAACACTCCGAGGACCGTAAAACTATGTGTGTGCGAGTGGGTCAATCCATGTCCAGTGCTCGACTGGCTGGGAGCAAGGGAAAGGAAGGGAAAGGGGGAGTGCGAGGTATTCACAAGGTGGTGAGCGGTAGCGGGGACGGCAAGGAAATAAAGCAAGGTGAAGGCAGCATGGACGACGAGGGACCAGATGAGGGCGAAAGCGGTACAATTCGTCTTTTTAAAAAAAAAATGTGATACAGGTGGAATATATATACTGTAAGTAAGACAGTAAGGAGAAATGCCCTATTCAGGTTCAGATTGAGGGGAAGGGACCAGGGCAATCGCGCTGTCGGCTGCTTGGATACCCATGACGCGACGGTGGTCAGGAACAGAAACAGTGCTTGTTTGTCTCCAGAGGTACAGCCAAGCCAATCTCGGATCAATCCGAATTAGTCAGATTACGCGGTCAGCGCCATATGCTGCTCATCACCGCCACCGCAGATTCATTCCACCACCGCATTTTACCATTCTACGGCGCTGGAAATTGTCTTCCGTGCACATGTTTAGCTATTCTATGACCAGGAGGAGGTCCTAGACCCGATTCCGATGGATGGAGCAGGGCCCGAAGGCTGGACAGGCTGGGGTATAAAAGGGACGGACTTTTGGCACTGTAGGGGGACAGCTCTTGTATAGGGATTCCCCCTGCTCAATTCTGAGTGGTCCTGTACCCTCAAGTAGAGTTGAATCACATACACACACATCTCTTGCAGCTTCAGGTCTCTAAGCTCATGCCACACTCATCCTCATACCTTTCACCGCGGTGAAATGGTGCACCAACGTATAGGCTGCAAAATGTAGCTAGATATAGATAGAAAACTCCGAGGAGAAATCACACTAAACCAACCAACACACACACAACACACTACACACAACCAATACGATGTGCTAATAATTGAGTTCGGGTCACCCTGAAGTATACAGGTAAGATTGATCCTTCTCTCATGTAGTTTGAACAATTTCAACTCTAAGAAAGCCTTGTTAGGACTTCCGCGGAGCGCAGTAGTTATAAATAACCACTAATAGTCAACCACTCTGATACCGCGGAGGGTATTTTCGGGGTGTATGGAAATATAAAAGTGTCCTCGGACTACCAACTTATGGGTCCTCGGGATCTCTGCACAATGTACGACCGTCCTACTAAGGCGGGGAGCGATTCCAATAGCCGACCTTGCCACTTAACAAGGTTCCTTTAACGGTTTCTCGACTCCGTGGAGCAAAGCGAGGTGTAGAAGGCTTAAGATGAACTTAAAGCTTTTTAGAGCCAACAAATATCAAAGCTTCAATTTAATGAATCTACACAAAGAGATGTTTTATATCACAAATCTCCGCGCGGATACAGAGGACACCAACGCTGGTTAATGGCAGGTGCTGTTCGACTACTGTCTGGGCACCTCCGCGGGCAAGGATGAACTGCTGTCCTGCGGGTTCTCTATGGGCTTTTATACTACTTTCTAAATAAATTACAAACGGCAGATGTGTAACAGGAAATAAGAGAGACTGAGTAATACGGAGCGGAATAGGAAGAAACGCGCGGCCAAAGCCTCTCTACTTTGGTGGGTCAGCAGTCGAGAGTCATGTTGAATGACTCCTCGGACCCAATTTGGGTATATTTGAAATTCCCGCGGAGGAGCTGAACATATTTGTGTCCATGGCCGCCCTGCGGAAGGGTACGTCCTGCGCCGGCATGGTTGATAATCCCAGCCATTGTGTCATCTCCCAGCGAGTAAGCTGGTACGGTATTTGTCCTACTGTGCCATGTGTACAGCTCAGCTTCGGCCAACGGTGCCTGTCCGATCCCTCGGATCAGTGATCGCTGCAATGCTCTTGTTTGGTCTCCCGCGGGCGCGTCGTGTCCGTCACATGGGTCTATTTCCAGAGTACTGAGTCCGCGGAAACTCTCCGCGGGCTCTTGCTCGTCAACTTTGGCAGTCCGCGGGGCCTTCGCCCCTTGGTTTGTCAGGTATCTAGTTAGAGTCCGCTTCTGCGGACTCGACAATATCATTCCGCAGACTGGTTTAGTCCAGTGCTTTCGGACACTACTAGTCCACAACTGTTCGTCTAGGCTTTTTAATGTTTAATCTCCTTGGTATGGTATCTAGCCAACAGGGCAAGCCATATCCCAGAAATACAGGAATAACTCTGTCTGTGCACGTATATGCCCCGTGGAGCGCTATGCTG